TATTAAGTGGTTTTGTCCAAAGAAACCCAAGAAGAAAACCCAAAGAAAGGAACAGTAAGGTCTGGCTGAGTTGAGACACCTGTTCTGGGGAGCTCTGAGTTCACCTCTGAGGTGGGGAAAGTTCTCTATTCCCTGCTTGCACTGCTGGAAAAAACCTACTCCAGGATTGCACATCATGGGATGCATATACTGGCTGGATCCTGCCCTTCTCCCCGTGGGGGAGTGTGTGTTTGAGTGTCTCGCTTTTTCCCAGGCCCTGTGGCCTGCAAATCCAGGAGGAGCAGAGCCATTGACCAGACATCTACCCTGGGTTGTGATTGCCCAGAAGTGCCCAGTGTAGGGCCAAAGCCTACCCTGCTTCATGTGTCAAAACTTTGGAGTGCCTCCAGCCTCAGCATGGGGAAGAAGCAGAATTGTGATTGTGGCTTCTCTTTGGCAGAGATTGCGCTGGCTCAGCTGGATGAGATCAAGTCACTGGAGCAGATCGTTTTGAAGTTTGCAGCTGTCATCGGACTGGTGTTCACCACCCAGATGCTGTCATACATTCTTCCCACTAACATAAAGCACAAGATGACTGTCTTGTTGGACAGCTTAGTGAGTAACAACATCCTCAAGTGGATGGAGAGCACCGAGGAGCCAGAAGATGTCCAAGATCCTAGCAAGGAGCCAGCCACCTCTGCGCAGGGAGAGATTGGTAAGTGGTAGCAGTGGGGTGGACAAGGAGCTCCCAGATGTGTTCTGGATAGGCTCCTAAGGGCATGGTGTGATTCCTGCCCTGCGAGGGCTGGCATGGCTTTTGGGGATGGGTTGGTCAAAGCTCTTAAAAGTCAATCTGAAAGCACACTAGATTTGCACTGCAGGGAAGTTCCCACCAGTTGTCCCAAATGCCTCTGCTCCCCTGCCTCCAAGCGCTGCTTTTAGCACAGGCATGGGAGGACATGTGGAATCCCTGACATCCTCTCCCAGCCACCTGCAGCATCCACATTGATGATGCCCTCCAGAATGCCCAAGGGCCTTCAGCAAGCTCTTATTGGGCTTTGATTCCCCTGTGGTGCAGGGTTCCTGCTCAGGAGGCTGGGGACTGCCTTGCCAAGAGTGGGGAGAAAGCGCTGCCTGGGGCTTGCTTCAGCTGGCAGCAACATCCCCAGCTCCTGCCTGGACCAGTGCAGCTGAGCACTGCATCCCCGGGCTGTGCTAGCATCAGCCCTTTCGCACGGTGCTGCAGGGCTTGGCGTGCAGCAGCACTCCTTCGCTATCAAGGATGAGCACCAAGGCACGACTTTGCCTCTCCATCTGGCCCTGGCTTGGGCTCATGCAAAGGCCCTTTGCCTTGCAGGTGTGGAGACCTCCACCCCACGCAAGCAGAGCGTGGGGTGTCAATTTGGTGTACTGATGTTCCGTAAGCCACTGCTGCAGCAGGCTGCCTACGAGCTGTGGGTCCAGAAACATCGGTTCGCCCTGCACTGCAAGTGTGCTGCCTTCCTGGAGCGGCATGCACACAAATGCCAGAGATGTGGCCAAGGGGACTTCATTGTCTTCCACCGCTTCGCTGTTGCCAGTACCCAGGACAAAAGGAGCTGTGAGGACCTTGATGATGGGGATGACCCACACTCCTGGAAGGCCTTGGTGCTGGCTGGAGAACAGATGAAGAGGGAGAGGATCTGTGCCACTGCAGGTATGCTGTGCACCATGCTCTGTAACCTCGGCCCTCCAGAAGCCCAGGGATGGGTGCTGGGGCTCAGGTGGGAGTAGATCTGCTAGGAACGAGCCCAGCAGGTGAGGACAACCACTGCAAACTTTCCTCCATGTGTTAGCACCCTTGCAAGGATCCTTGCAGGCCTACTGGGAGAGGGAGAGCAACTCTTATCCTGGGATACACGCAAGGAGGTGTCTAACCCCCTGTTTTCTTTCCAGATATTACAGATACTCAGGAGGAGCAGAAGCAGAAGAAAGCTTTTGTGGAAGAGAATTTTGGGTGAGTGGACAAGGTTATGATTCTTTTTGAAGCCAGTGAGTTCAGGGTGGCCAGAGGAGACGTAGGAAAAGCTGGCTTTTGTCTGCCAGTTGTGACTCTAGCTTAGGGAAGAGGCTTTCTGTGGGGTGGGAGCTGAGAGGGGATGGCTGTGGAGATGAGAGTGCTTAAGGAAGCCCGTGGCCCAGTGTGAAAGTAATGCTACACTGAAGCAGCCCTTGCTTTCCAGTTCCTATAGAGTAGCATGCAAAATCTACAGGGAAAAACCACCACAGGGGCTCGGGTGGTTTGCCTGTAGGAGGTGACAGAAAGTCCAGCTTCTCCCTTCCTCTGTGCTCCCAAAGAACCTGTATGAGTCATACCTGCCTGTGGCCTTGTGCTCTGCTTTGCACAAAGGGCTTCTGATGTTGTCTCTGTGGGAAGGAAGACCACTCTAGGTGATAGCCATGTATTCTTTGCTCTTTTCTTCACATGGGCACTGTACTCTGAGTAATGTGGCAAGGCAGTTTTTGGCAAGGAACAAACAGACAACTGAGCTGTCCAGCAAGACTGACAGGGAGGACAACAGTGCATGCTCGTGTGACTGCAAAGGCATTGTGGAGTCAGTGCTTCTGCCTTTGGTTCATCACTACGTGATACTGGGTAATGTGGCCAAAGCCTTTTACTACCTTCTGGAGTCTGCAGCTGCCTACCTGCATGTCTGCAACTGCTACATGGTGAGTTGCCCTGCTTGCAGTGCATCCTGCCTAGCTCTGGGCCAGATAACTTTGCATTGCACTAGGGCATGCCTTCGCGGGGCCTTGGAAGAGAGATGTTGAGCTCTGAGCCTGACTTTTTACTCTGTTTTGCCTCTTGTCTGAGAGGAGACACAGGGCTCTGTGCCCTTAGCATGAGAAGCATTATCAGGGAGAAGGTCTGAAGTATCAGTGGTGCCTGTGCTCTGAGCTAACGTGACTGTGTTTGTGTGGGTATCGCCAGGGGGAGAAACAGGCCCTCTTAAGACAGATGCCAGAGGCAATGCGGGAGGACAGGGGTGGCCATGGGCTCTGCACTAATCTCACCTGCTCTCTGTGTGCTTGCACAAAGGCCCTCAGGAAACTGAGTGAAGCGGAGGTCCTGAGGAACTCTCTAAAGAATAAAGCAAATGTGATATCCCGCTTTGAAGATGCCACCTTCTTCAGCCTCAAAGGGGAGGTAAAGAGGAGGTCTGAAGGGATCTCCTGAGTGATGGAGCTGGATGCCTTCCTCAGATGCAGTGGATAGGAGAGCTCTAGTATCTGCAGATGCTGGCAGATACCTGCAGTCTCTTGGGCAATTAGCCCACATTGGGATGTTTCCCTTTTCCTGTGCAGGTCTGCTGTTGTATGGGACGCATGGAGCTGGCAAAGAAAATGACCAGAAAGGCTTTGAGCCTGCTGGGAAGGCCATTTCCCCGGACCTGCGCTGAAGACCTTGTCAGGTCTCAGGTGGAAAAGTTGCAGTGTGCCTTTTATGTTGCCAGAAGAGCATCCTCCCTTCCTCAGGAGGCCCAGTAAGAAACAGGACCAAGAACCCAGGAGAGAAAGAGTCATTTCCTACCTGGTCCCAGGCATCTGGGACCAGACCTAACAAGGCTTGAGGCCACACAGAGCAATGTGCGGGTAAAACAGGGAATGGCAGAGTTCCCCACTCCCTCCCTCCCTGTGCAGCCCTGGGAACAAAGCATGTGTTAGGGTACAAAGCAGCTTGCAGCCAGGGATGCGTCTGCCAGCACGAGTTGTCTGCAGCAGTGGATTGGTGCTGGCTGGGAACAGAGAGCTGTATTGAAGGGGGGTGATGTGTGGCTGGAGGCAGAAGCAGGACATGGGGAAAGAGCAGTAAGAGGAAGCGAGGCGTGAGAATCGCAGAATGGTTTGGGTTGGAAGGGGCCTTCAAAGGTCATCTAGTCCAACCCCCTTGCAATGAGCAGGGACGTCTTCAACTACATCAGGTTGCCCAGAACCACATCCAGCCTGGCCTTGAATGTCTCCAGGGATGGTGTGTCTACCACCTCTCTGGGCAACCTGTGCCAGTGTTTTACCACGCTTATTGTAAAGAATTTTTTTCCTCATATCCAGCCTGGATCTCCTTCTCTTAGTTTAAAACCATCACCCCTCATAGTGTTGCAACTGACCCTGCTAAGAAGTCTTTCCCCATCTTTCTTATAGGCCCCTTTTTAGAACTGAAAGGCTTCAATAAGGTCTCCCCAGTCTTCTCCAGGCTGAACAACCCCAACTCTCTCAGCGTTTCCTCATAGCCAAAGTGCTCCACCCCTCTGATCATTTTTGTGGCCCTTTTCTAGACTCTCTCCAACAGGTCCATGTCTTTCCTGTGCTGAGGACTCCAGGGCTGGATGCAGGACTGCAGGGGGAGACTCACCAGAGCAGAGCAGAGCAGAGCAGAGGGGCTCCCTTGACCTGCTGGCCACACTCCTTTGAATGCAGCCCAAGATGCAATTGGCCTTCTGGGCTGCAAGCACATACTGCTGGATCATACCCAATCTTTCACCCACCAGTACCCTCAAATCCTTCTCCTCAGGTGTACTCTCAATCCCTTCATCCCCCAGCCTGTATTGACACCAGGGGTAATGAGGAAGTTCAGAGGATGATGCCCCTTTTCCTGCTGGTTCCCAGCTTTGCTTGGCCCCCCTGGTGCTGTCATGCCACCAACCTCTCGAGCGGCCAGCTTCCTGTGGTGGTACTTGTTGTTTGCCCTGGAAGCTCCCCCTCCATCAGCTCTCTTTCCTCCAAGAAGGTGTAATGGTCTTGCCTGGCACCTGTTTTCCCCCCTGGCCCTGTCCAACTCAGCTCATAGGCTCTAGCTGTACAGGCTAGAGCCTCTGGGCCTAGCAGTGTCTCTTGTGTGGCAGGAAGAAGAAGGTCGCCTGGCTGCTGCGGCAGAGCTGCTGCCTTTCCTTACTGGAGCACCTCTTCAGCCTGGAGGGCACTTCTGTTGGATGGAGGCTGTCCCGCCTGGCAGTGCGCATGAAGGCCAACACAGACAGGGCAGTGGACTTCTATCAATCAGTCAGCCTGCAGGAGCTATGATGCTGGCTTTGAAATGACCATATAGTTCATTACCACCATCTATCTTACATTTGGAGAAAGATGATGTTCTCCAAATATTTGTAGTACCATAAGAAGCAACACATGCAAGTGATTAAATATTCATATGTGCCTTCACATTCAAATATTTTTTAGTCTGCAGCTGACAATTGCCTGCCTTAGAGAGGCACTACAGGATTATGTGAGATTTCACAGTAGTATCTGAATAAGTTGACTGTTGGTCTTAGAAAACATTCAATTTAGATGTCTGCAGTGCACTCAGCTGTGGAAAGCCAGCAACTAACCCTGAATATTTCATAGTTGTGTGTTTTAGTTAAATGTATGGAGGAATATCTGAAGTGATAAGACGATAGCAAAAGGGTGTAAAATTCAAGAGGCTAAGCTAGTAATACATTAGCCTTTTAATGAGTAGAGATTCTCCCATCTCTTCTGGGGAGCTAGCTGGGGACATTTGAAGCATGCTGTTAAGCAGATTTAGTTAGAAAGAGTATATGGAGTATTTGGGGTTGGTTGGGTTGCTCACAAAACAGTTACTGATACTTTCCTCAGGATACGAACAAACTTCAAAACCAGAATATCAAACTTTTTCCTGATTCAGACACTCTTGCTTTCAGACCTAGGACTTTAGCCCATTACAGTGGTGCAAGCTAGACTTCTGAACTGATTCCTGCCTAGGACAAAATGTCTAGTTATCATCCCAGCTTTTATTACAAGTCAGTGTTTGAGGAAGTGCAGTGGTTCAATTAAACCAAGAAGTGGCACTGTTTGAAAGCAATGGAAGTCAAGTCTGCTGTGCAGCTCCTGTAAAGGCAGATTCACAAACAGATGGATAATCTGATGGGGCTGTGGGATGGTGCACATGTCCTAACAACCAAGGCTGCAAGTTACCTTTATGTGTCACTAAACGAACTCTGAACCAGAATGCTCTCGGGGTGTCACTTTGGTTCAAGCGTTAGCAGAAGGCCTGTAATGTCAGAAAAAATCACTAGTTTCTTCCACTTCTTGCCTCTGAGACTCTCTTGCACAGCACTTATCATTTAGAAAGCTGTTTCCTGCAGTGCCTTTTAAAGGCTTTTCCTCTTTCAAAAACTACAGCAATGGCATATGAATATCCCAGGTTTTTATTTTAAGGCCTCAGATCTTCTGGAAAGCCTTTTCATCTTTGCAAAAGGCTTAGAACTGTCAGGAATGCTTATAAGGTACCAACACCTGTAAAAGTAAAGATGTGCCTCATGTTTTGCATGGAGATCTGGTGGTGCTGTCCAGTACTATTACATGTGACATGCAACACAGCACTGCAATAACTGTAAGGCGTCAGACACTGACTTAGATATTGTCTGAAAGGGAGAGAAGAGATTCTGCTTCAGCCTCAGCATGTTTATTTCACAGCTTCTCTTTTTGTGGACAACTGAGAAGAGCCCTAGTTGTCCCCAAACAGACACCAGTCACTTCCATGGTCATCTCTGTCCGCTTCCTCTTTGATCTCTCCATGTATTGTGATGATAAACAGCCAATACATGCCTGGTGGAGGGAGGCACCAGTAGGCTGGCCATAGCAGGGCAGTGATCATCCCACTGCACTGGGCACTGGTGAGGCTGCACCTCGAATCCTGTGTTCAGTTCTGGGCCTCTCACTACAAGAGAGACATTGAGGTGCTGGAGCAGGTCCAGAGAAGGGCAACGGAGCTGGTGAAGGGCCTGGAGCACAAGTGTGATGAGGAATGGCTGAGGGACCTGGGGGGTTTAGTCTGGAGAAGAGAAGGCTCAGGGGGGACCTTATTGCTCTCTACAACTGCCTGAAAGGAGGATGGAGCCAGGAGGTGGCTGGTATCTTCTCCCAAGGAACAAGGGATAGGACAAGAGGAAATGGCCTCAATCTGCAGCAGGGGAGGTTTAGACTGGCTATTAGGGACAGTTTCTTCCCCGAAAGGGTTGTCAGGCGTTGGAACAGGCTGCCCAGGGCAGTGGTGGAATCACCATCCCTGGAGGTGTTCACAAACTGCGTAAATGAGGCCCTCAGTGACATGATTCAGTGATGGACTTGTCAGTGCCTGGAGAATGACTGGACTTGATCTTAAAGGCCTTTCCAACCCCGTTGATTGTATGATTCTGTGATTCTATGATTTCCTAGTGATGCCAAGGCCACTTACAGCAGGACTCGTTGAAAGTCACCCTTTTACTAAATTGCAGAAGGAATTGTCCTTTTTCTCTTTCCTCCCTTTTCTTGTCTTCTAAACAGCTATGCTCTAGGCAACACTGTGCTTTGATAAGGCAGCTGACATATAGCTACTTTAGGTTTCACAGTAAACATGCCTTTGACTTGAGTGTCTGTGGAGTTGCCCAGCAACTTGGTGACATTAGCAGTCACTGTGACCATGCCCCAGTTAGAGTCTAACAGAAGTAACCTGTGAGGTTTTACATGCAGTGGCATTGAAAGGTTTCTCCCACGCCTCTGTGCACCCTGGTTAGCATTGCTCTCTGTACAGGTAGACAGGTAAATCAGTCCTGGTGACTCTAATGTATCACTGGCAAAAGCATCTTTTCTGATCTTGTTTTCTAGGCCATTTCATTCATTCAAATCTCGCTGTAGTATTGTCACGGGCTGAACAACAAAAAAAAGCATTAGATTTCTTTTAGATATGCAGTTGAACCTGATAGCTCCCACTCTAACAGTTTTAGCACTACTATTCCTTCTGCATTCCCTGACCTGCCAATATTTACTGCTACTGAGAATTTCCTAGCTGAGCTGTATGAGTAAATGTGTATTTCTTCAGACAGCCTATAGCAGTTGGTTTATTTTTTTTTTCAAGTTAAAACAAAGCAAATGACATAGCATTTCTATGTCATATTTTGAGTCTTTAAGAAACGATCCTTTTCTTTTGGATCAACTTTTTATTAAATATAACATCTTTTGTTAAGAAAAAAGGCTTTATTTATTAGTATTTAATAAAACTTTTTTATTAAATAAACCACCTTTGTTAAGAAGAAAGGTGATCCAAAAGAGAAAGTTTAGTTATTAGCTTAGATTTTAGTTATTTCAAAATTTTCTATCTTTTCTGCTACAAATCCATCCCTTACAGCTCTCATGAGAATCCTTACACCATCTCTTGGGAGAGTAGTGTATTTAATTAAATACATGTAAAGTGGTAATGCAGTGGGTCACACTTAACTCTTCTCTCCCATGCAACCTGCTTTGAATAATTCATTTTCAGAGCAGAAGGCATTAAAGACTTCTGATCCTGGCAATGTTGTTACACAAGAATTACCTTTAATTCTTCTCCGGGTGGGCTTGGTGAGTGCAGCAGGTGCCTCTGGTTAGCTTTGATTTATGCCAAGAACCAGCCCAGCTAGCAAAATTGCCCAAAATATATTAGCAAAACTACTTCAGCATCGATCAATTATTTTATTTCTCACTTCAATTCCATTACTTAATTTTGGAGGCCACAGCCTGTCTTGAAGTCAAACTGCAGTAATGTAATTTTGGTGGATAATAAAAAACCAAACAAACCACCCTTATTAAATATTCAGAAAATGTCTATTCTGTGTAATGCTACGGAGTATCTGTTGACTTAACAATATCTGTTAAGTCAATGCAGAATAAAGTTTATTAATCTAGATTAAATCTATTTTCCTGAAAACTTGTTAGGTACTTACCTTTTCTGAGAGTGCAAGTCCTTGTCTGATGGCTTTATTAATTCAGAGAATGTCACTGCACATTTCCCAGCTATCCTCTTCAGTGTTACTCCTTTATACCTTTGCTTCGCTTAGTCCGCTTCCAGAAGTCAGCTCAAAAAATTGAATTACAATTGCCCCAGGAGAGCTAGATTCTACCATGAAATTCTTGCTAAAATGGGTTTTTCTGCGAGTGGTCTGATAAATGTGTTCTTTTTTTTAATCAAACTTTTTAGCATATTGAGACCAAGGAAGTCATGCAGATGATTTTGTGCAGGAAAAGTACAACTATGTATTCTGATTTTTTCTTTTTTTCTTATTTCTCTATGATTTATTACTATTACATACCTTGGAAAAAAAGAGTATCAGAATAAACAGTCAAGCTCTAGAAAATGAAAGGAAATATCTGGGGTATTTTATGAGAAGTTGTGCTGGCATTGGAACTAAAACATATAATTTGTAGACTTACAGATAAAATATTTATCTGTAGCTAGCAATTGTGTTTGTCTTCTCTTGTATGATCTTGTATGAGATTTGCAATAGCGTGGATGGAATCCTCACATTGTCCATTGAGCTTGTCTGCATCCAGCCTGGACAAGAGACAAAGAAAGCTCAGACATGGGAAGGATCTAAGGAAATCTTTTCTGCTTTTGACCATCAGATTGATTGGGGGCAGAAGTAGCCACTAAGCTTCCAAATTTGGGAAGTACCGGTGAAAAGTTTTGAGAGCTTTTGGTTGGAGCTCTGTTTCCTCAACAGAAAAATGACTAAAAAGATTGGTCCCAGTGAGGATTAATGAGGGATGAGTGTTTGAGCTGTTGACAGCTCTCTGCTGGGGGAAGAGGCATAGAGTGTAACTGTGGCATACTACATTTAAAAGTTATGGAGAAGTGATATGGAGAAGTGATACTGGGATTTTTTAGTCTGGAGAAGAGAAGGCTCAGGGGGTACCTTATCAGTCTCTGTAACTACCTGAAAGGAGGTTATACTGAGGTGGGGGTCAGTCTTTCTGCCAAGTAGCAAGTGATAGGACAAGAGGAAGCATCCTCAATCTGCACGAGGGGAGGTTTAGACTGGATATTAGGAACAATTTCTTCCCTGAAAAGGTTGTCAGGCGTTGGAACAGGCTGCCCAGGGCAGTGGTGGAATCACCATCTCCGGAAGTGTTCACAAACCATGTAGACAAGGCCCTCTGTGACATGGTTTAGTGGTGGCCTTGTCAGTGCTGAGGAATGGTTGGACTTGATGATCTTGAAGGTCTTTTCCAGCCTAGTTGCTTCTATAATTCTATGATATCGTATGCTGTGATTG